CTTGCTCGTGTCAAAAAAGAAAAAAAAAAGTCGTTGTCTCTTTCGAGCTTTACTATTCTCTCTCTCTCTAGAGAGAAAATAAAAAAAAATCAAAAATGTCTCTGTGATTTTCTAATCTCTAGAGAGAGAAAGAGAAGAAGATTAGATAGACTTTCAACGTTTGCAAGAGAGAGAGAAAAAGAGTTGTCTTTCTTCTTAGTTCTCGTCATTTGCGCCATTGATTGATTCAAGCTCGAAGAAACAGAGGTACCCACTTGCATTTTTCTATGATTCCTTCAATTATCGAAAAAAATTCACTTTTTTAATTACCAAAGCTTTGATCTTTTAGGTTTCTGGTTCTTGGAGTGTTTCAGTGCATTATCCTTCAACTTTCCGATCTAATTCCGGCGATGGGTGATACAGAGAAGTGTAACACTGAAATGATCCAAAGACTCCATTCATCATTCGGAACATCGTCTTCTTCGATTCCTAAACATCCCATTTCCATGAATCAACAACAGCTCGAAATTCCTCAGATAAACCCTAATTTCATCCCTCAATTCTCTCAACCTCGAATCGCCGTACTCCCACCGACTTCTCCGTATTCTCAGATCCCGACGACCCGACCACCCGGTTACAACCCCAACCCGAACCCGGTCGGAGCTAATCATTCACGGTCAATGTCACAACCTTCCTCTTTCTTCTCCTTTGATTCGTTACCTCCTTTAAGCCCTTCTCCGTTTCGTGATCATGACGTCTCCATGGAGGATAGAGATTCATGTGGGTTTAACAAGAACTTGCCTCCTTCTCCGTTCACGAGATGTAACTCAACTTCTTCAAGAATCGTCGGTGGTGGTGGTGGTGAGAGTTTACCTCCGAGGAAGTCTCATAGACGCTCCAACAGTGATATTCCAAGTGGGTTTAATCCGATGAATTTGATTCCTCCAAGACCATTGGAGAGATCGATCTCTGGTGGGGAATGTAGTGATTGGTCAAAGGCTAATCCTTTTGTGAAGAAGGAATGTGAAAGAGAAGGTGTTGGTGAGAGAGAAGCAATGGATGATCTCTTCTCAGCTTATATGAATCTTGAAAACATTGATGTGTTGAATTCTTCTGAAGCTGATGATAGTAAGAACGGTAATGAGAATAGGGAAGATATGGAGAGTAGTAGAGCGAGTGGGACTAAGACTAATGGTAGTGATACAGAAGGAGAGAGTAGTAGTGTGAATGAGAGTGGTGGTAATAATCATACTAGCTTGAATTCTTCGGGGGAGAAGCGAGAAAGCGTGAAGAAGAGGAGAGCGGGAGGAGGAGATATTGCTCCGACGAGTAGACATTATAGGAGTGTTTCAGTTGATAGTTGTTTCATGGAGAAGTTGTCTTTTGGCGATGAATCGCTAAAGCCGCCTCCTTCTCCTGGAACTTTGTCGCGCAAAGTTTCGCCTACCAATTCTGTTGATGGGAATTCGGGTGCTGGTTTTAGTATTGAGTTTAAGAACGGTGAGTTTACTGCAGCGGAAATGAAGAAGATTATGGCAAATGATAAACTAGCTGAGATGGCAATGGCTGACCCTAAGCGTGTCAAAAGGTATATTGAATATTGTTACTAAAGTTTAACGGTTTTTAATCGGATTTTTCCGATGTTTATGCAATGATCCTCTTTTCAGAATCTTGGCGAACCGTCAGTCTGCAGCGCGGTCAAAGGAGAGGAAGATGAGGTACATAGTGGAATTGGAACACAAAGTGCAGACTCTTCAGACTGAGGCTACTACATTGTCTGCTCAGCTCACGCTTTTGCAGGTGTGTAGTCTACACTGTTATAACAGCGCCTAGATTGGTCTGCTTTTCTTTTGCTATTAACGATCTTAGTTATTGCATTGATTCAGAGAGATATGATGGGGTTGACAAACCAGAACAATGAGCTGAAGTTTCGTCTTCAAGCAATGGAGCAGCAAGCTCGACTTCGTGATGGTATGCATTTCTCTCGAAACTAAATCAAATTCTTGGTTCAATGGTTTACGATACTATTAGCATGACTCTTGATTCTCCCCTCACTTATCTGAATCAGTACGAAATTAGAAAAGAGATCTCTATGTTTTTGTATCTGAAGCCTAATGGAACAACCATTAGATCCTATATGCGTAAAAGCTTTGTCTTATTGCCTTTAACGAATGTGAAAAATGATGTTATTCCGCCTTTACCGTGGCAGCTCTGAACGAAGCACTGAATGGGGAAGTCCAGCGACTGAAACTGGCAATCGGTGAGAGCAGCCAGAACGAGCCTGACAGATCAAAGATGCAATCACTCAACGCGGAGATGTTCCAGCAACTGAACATCAGCCAGTTAAGACAACAGCCACAGTCTCAACAGAACCAGAATGTAACCATGGCAACAAAACCTGAATCAAATGAATAGAGCAGATAAGCTGTTGTTGCGGTGGTGGCTTGGATCAAAGGAGTGGAGTTTTTAATTTTTTCAGTTACATATATCAAATCAAAACATTATTATTTTTATTTGTGCAGAGTCAGTTGAATTTACATATATAAGGCGTAAGTCCAAGAAAATTTAATTTTACAGTATTTTATTTTAGAAAGAAAAAAATTCAATTTATGGTAGATAGGTGTATGGTTGTATTGTAATGGAGAGGCTCAAGAGATTGAGCTTCAGACAAAGAGATTCTCTG